CCTAACTCATCCTGCAACACCTTCCAACCCGTGTTGTGAAATAAATGGAAACAATGCTAACTAAAACCTCAACTTTACATCTGTTTAGAAAAAACAACAAGCGGGCTAACCCAGATTTCAGGGATTTACAGAAATCTTGACCTACACCAAAAGTGGGCATTGCCCTACCTATAGGAGAAGTTTGGTTTCATTGGTGTGTATATTTGTTTGGTTATAGAGAAACTCTTCTTGTCTTTTAAAGAAACTGAACAACGGGCAAAAACTATCTTCGATTTTCTCAAAACAGATTTTTCGGGTTAGCTCCCCTTCTCCGTAAAAGCAACAATTTAAGGTGCGAGATCTTAAAAAACACCTAGAATATTTTTAAAAATCAAAACCCTCATCTTCTTGTTGCCACAGAAACAATCTTCCTCACTGCCCTATTCGAAATATCAGAGCAGAAGATACAGCACCCTGAGAGAGAGAGAGAGAGAGAGAGAGAGAGAGAGAGAGAGAGAGAGAGAGCAGATGGGGATGACGGCGGATAGGACAAAAAGAAAGAGCGGAAGAGAAAGAATGATAATGCAGCAGAGGGAGTAGAAGATATATAACAACATTCCAGACGTCTTGAAAAAACGCAAATGTATACACAACGAAAGATAATTTATATTATGACGAACGCTTGGATTTTAAGCCAAGGCCCTACTTGAGCAGAGGTTTGCTGTACATCGCTACTCCCTGTCTGTGTCTCTGTTAAAGTGCTTTGCATTGTTTCCCCACAGAGCGACAGGATGGATAGGGAAGGGCAACGACGGCCTTTATAAATCAGTTGAGGTAATAATGTAAAGAAATAAGCAGCTTCAGATGGTTATGGCAAACCATGATTGTATGCCTATTGTTTTTTATGTTTAATTTTTGTGGGGTGTTTTTGTTTTTGTTGCTGTTGCTGTTTTTGTTGTTGTTTTTTTAAAGAGGATCAAAATTGATGACTAAGCAGTTTGAACGTTTTACACTTTTTCTCCTTGTGCGCAACAAAAGTAATTTTTGTCATTCGTGTTTTCAGCATCACAAAGTTCGCTTTTAATGCCAGTCCTGTTTAATTTATTTACATCAACACCAAACAGAGTAGAAATGAATGATCTAAGCAATACCCATCAAGTTTAATTACAGTAAACTAGGATTAGCTAGCGTTTGGTAGTTTTTGTTCCGACTGTGAACAACCGAGCGATGCTGTGCCGTGGACCAGCTGAACTGGCACACCGAAAACAAATTATATCAAACACATTGTGAAATTAAAGATGGCCACTCTCTGGTTATATTATTATTGTTCCCGGAATTCACTCGTTTGCAAATCGGACATTCTGTTTGATATGAGCGGTACTGTTTTGGCAGGTTTATGCAAATTGGCTACGGACCAACTCGTAAAAAGGAAACGCAGTGTAAAGATATTCAGTAGCGAGTAATCTTGACGCACACCCAGCGCTCGACGACAGCCAGAAGGTGTCCATACGAATCACTATCTGTGTCTGTGACTGGGAACACCTGGTGTGCAAAGATCTTTCGTAGGAATTCCCCAAGGAGACATTTTCATAGGCCGTGAGTTACTTTTTTGTCGTTTCTCACGACAGATAGTTTGCTGAGTTTTGTGTATTTTCCGGAGTCAAACACGATCCAGATGTTAGAGCGAAAGAAGGTACCGAGCCAGTATTGGGCTTAAGGTTCTCAATATATTATTATCTTCGCGTATCATTAAGGCTGTCCAGTTTCCTAAAGTGCCGCGCAGAGTTTGGGTTTTCAACGTCGTCTCGTTTAATACGAGAAATTCCAGTGGTTTTCCTTACATTCGTTATGTCCACCTTGAAATCTGAAGTGACATTTTGTTACCTCAGAATTACAAAGTTCTCTCTGACGTTTTGGGCCGTTTTGAATTACTAACATCATGAGATCAGATACCAAATGCTCTGTGTGCTCTAACAAAATTATAAGGTTATTCTGAGTTGTTATCAAGATATTTAAAGAATTGCATTCGAAAAAGATTGACATATTATGATACTCATTTTCTTTAGCGTCAAATTTCTCAAAACTAGAAACGGAGCAGATACGACTTTGTAATTCTAAGGTAGCGATTTGCGCATGGATAGGAGGATGTGCACACTGACTGGAGCAAGGAGTGCGGGTGGGGAGGTGTCTCAATAAAATATATTTCTTGCTGAAAATTTGAAAGAACAAAAAGACTTACATCTTCTGGTCATCCTCATTCTTGTTGCTACTCTTTCCTCTCTCCTCTCTTTTCAAAATATTTATTCATATGTTTCACTTTGTCCCTACCACCCCACCCCCCTTCCCACTTTATTCCTTGTATTTTCTGTACTTGGCTATAATATGGCTGTCATTTTCCGCGTGAATATTTATCCGTTGTGTCTCTTACAATATGATAATGATAATATGTCTGAAATGCTGCTGTGCCTGTCAACAAAACCACTCATCTTTTTTTCTCTAAGTCTCTATCTTTGTCCGTTTCTCTTTTTCTCTCTCTCTGTCTTTCTTTCTCTCTCCCCCCCCCCTCTCTCTCTCTCTCTCTCTCTCACTCTCCTCCTGTCTCTCTTGTTCCTCGTCCCTCCCTCCCCCCCCCCCCCCGTTCCCTCCCTCATTCAGGTATTTTTCTTTCGCTGATTTCGAGCGCCGACGTTCGTGAGTGTATGCACGTGTACGCAGGCTACAGAGCGGCCGCTTCGAATACTGCTCGGAGGTTCAAGTGGTCTTGAGGTCACGGTGTTCGCCTCTCATTCAGTAGGTCCCGGGTTCGAAAACTGACAGCGACGGAAATTTGTGTTCCCTAAAATTTTCTTATTTCACCTCCGTTCCTGCTCTCTAACTATGTTCTGTCGTCTACTTTCATCTCCACTTTCTGGCCCCACCCCACCCCTTTGCTCTGGGATCCTGGCTCTTCCCGTAGCCTTTCTACTGCTACTCCCTGGCTTCATCCCTGATCTTTAGGCAGGTACGATCTAACACCTAGTCTTTTCGGATAAGGGCAAAACATCTCGGAGCTCCCGTATGCACGTTGCGCACGTAAAAGATCCCTTGGTGGTCCAGAATCGATATAAATAGGTTTCGGCCGCCACCTAGACAAAATTCCAAATTAATTCCTACCAAAATGAAAATGTTTAATCTTTCCCGTGAGCTCATATGATGACCTTATGCATTTGCAGGCGCCGTAAAACACTTACCACAACGTACTGCTATGTTTTTGCTTCTTTTTC